AAAAAAAAGGAGGAGCAGGAGGAGGAGGAGGGCTTTGACGTCATCTCTCTGCGCCGCCAAAACACACGTGTGGCTGAAGCGGTGGAAGGTGTCCGAAACGAGCGAAGCAGCTGGTGATTTAATACAGAAGCCATGGGTAAAAAACTGAAAGTCGGGAAAACCAGAAAGGACAAATTCTACCATCTCGCAAAGGAAACGGGTGAGTCGCGTAAACACGAAGGTTAAGGCCTGATTTGGACGCATGCTGTGGTAATATCGGGCGTTATTCGAGATGACTGTAGCGTGATGCTCCTCGGAGTGTCCTAGAGGTCACTCAGATGCGTCTAGACCGTGTGATCTCTCATCATGTCGTGTTGTTTCAGGCTATCGCTCCAGATCGTCGTTTAAGCTCATTCAGCTCAACCGGAAGTTCCAGTTTCTGCAGCGCGCTCGAGCGCTGGTGGACCTGTGCGCGGCTCCGGGAGGATGGTGGGTCGCCCGCGGGTCTTCGCTTACATTATCTTGTGCTCGTGACCTAATTCTGCTTCATTGTTAACCAAATTCCGTTTTTTCCATTAAATCTATTTAGTTTTTTCCTCAAATTTGTAATGTATTTTTTTTCAAATTCTGTTGTTGTTTTTGTCACCTGTTTTATTTTTTACCTAAATTGTTATATTCTTTCCCAAATTAGTTTTTTTTTGCTGTAATATTTGCTTTATTGTTAAACAAATTACGTTTTTTCCATTAAATCTATTTGGCTTTTTCTTCAAATTTAAAAAAAAAAATAAAAAAATCAAATTCTGTTGTTTGTTGTTTTAATTTTATTCTTTTCCATTTTTTGTGAAATCTATTTTATTTTCCAACAAATCCTGTTTTATTATTTCCCAAATTAGTTTTTTTCCCCTGTAATATTTGTTTTATTGTTACCCAAATACTGTTTCTTTTCCATGAAATTTATTTTATTTTTTCCTCAAATATTTTTAATCTTTTTTTTTTTTTTTCAAATTCTGTTGTTTGTTGTTTTAATTTTATTCTTTTCCATTTTTTGTGAAATCTATTTTATTTTCCAACAAATCCTGTTTTATTATTTCCCAAATTAGTTTTTTTTCCCTGTAATATTTGTTTTATTGTTACCCAAATACTGTTTCTTTTCCATGAAATTTATTTTATTTTTTCCTCAAATATTCTTAATCTTTTTTTTTTTTTTTCAAATTCTGTTGTTTTTGTCACCTCCGTTTTATTTTTAACCTAAATTCTGTTTTATTCTTTCCCAAATTAGTTTTTTTTCCAATCTAATTTTTCTGTAATATTCGTTTTATTGTTTCGCAAATACTGTTTTTTTTCCGTGAAATCCATTTTATTTTTTACCTAAATTCTGTGTATATTATTTTCCAAATTCCTTTGTGTTTGATGTTTTAATTTTATTCTTTTCCAAAAAAAAATTGTGAAATCTATTTTATTTTCCCACAAATTCAATTTTATTATTTCCTGAATTATTTTTTTTCCGATATAGTTTTTCTGTAATATTCGTTTTATTGTTTCACAAATTCTTTTTTTTTTTTTTTAAATCAGTTGAATTTTTTCCTTAATTCTGTTTTATCCTTTCCGAAATTTTAATTTTCTAAATTGTTTATTTTTTCTGTTTCTTATTCTTTCCCAAATTCTATTGTTGTTGTTTTTTTTCTTTCATATTTTGCTCTGTGAAATCTGTTTTATGTTCCCCCAAATTCATTTTAATTCTTTCCTTTTTTTGTTCATTTAAAATTTTTCTGAATTGTTTTAATGGTTAAATTAAATTGTGGTAACCAAAAAGTGTGTCTAATCAATTTAAATAATGAAACCTATACAATTTAACAACATAGCAAATTATTAAAAGTTTAACAAAATTATTTTTTTTAGGGCCCTATGAAATGTCTATTTTTTTCATCTTTTTTTTCTTGTCTGGATTTCATTTTAATATTTTATGTAAACTTTAATAATCAAAAAGCTTGTCAAATCAATTTAATTCATAAAACTAACTTTTAAACAACTTATTAATTTTAATTTTTTTCTTTTTTTTACAATAATATTACCCTATGAAATGTTTTCTTTTTTCATTAAAAGTTTAACAAAATTGTTTTTTTAGGGCCCTATGAAATGTCTATTTTTTTCATCTTTTTTTTCTTGTCTGGATTTCATTTTAATATTTTATGTAAACTTTAATAATCAAAAAGCTTGTCAAATCAATTTAATTCATAAAACTTTAACTTTTAAACAACTTATTAATTTTAATTTTTTTCTTTTTTTTACAATAATATTACCCTATGAAATGTTTTCTTTTTTCAGAAATTCTATGTTTTCTGTTTTAAGTTTTTGTATTTATTATTTAATACAAATTTAGTATCAAAAACGGTGGTAATTTTATTTTTATATTATTTTTATTTATTAATTTATTAACGAACAGTGCTGCACAACAGAGGTTTACGGTAAATGTTAAAACATGGAAAAAAACAGTTTCACTTGATAAGGTTTTAATCGTTTTATTGTCACTTTGACAAGTACATGTACAATAGTAATATATTTCTGTTTGACTGAGCTTTTATTTTGACGAGTTGTCGCGAAGACCATAGTTTCTGACAATAGTTTTTGTTTGAATTATTCATCCAAAAAGTGCCAGTTTGCACTGGTTTTATAATCTCTCTTTGACGTTCAGGTTGCAGGTGGCGTCGAAGTTCATGCCGGTGTCCAGCCTGATTATCGGTGAGTGGTTGTGAAGTGAAGCGAATGTGATTCAGACATAGACTCCAGGTCTGACGCTGTTGTTTTGCTGTCAGGTGTGGATCTGGTGCCGATCAGACCCATCCCGAATGTGGTCATGCTGCAGGAGGACATCACCACGGAGAAGTGCAGACAGGTGAGATATTTCCTGATTCCTCGATTCTATTCGATTGGAAAAAAATCCTCGATTGCATTTTACCCGTATCGAGTAATCGGCAAAATGTCGGAAGTGGCGCGTTCCACACATTAACCCCATTTAAAAATCATAAAAAAGCATAATGCTTTTGTGAATTCACAAACGCTACGATTCAATTAAATAAATACATGCGGTGCAGGTTTAATGTATGCGCTTTATTTACATGTGTGTAGTAGGTTACGTACATACGGCTCTGTTCACAGTAAATGCTGCTCCACACAAACTGTTATCATTTACATGTGTGGAGCGTCTCAAACTCAGTCTCTGCATGTTGCTGTGAGTTTGGGTTTATTGTAACGTTCATCTGGGAACGCAACGTGCGCTATTTCATCAGATTTGTAAGGTAAATTATTTATAAATCTATGCAAACGCAGGAGAATACATCAATATCTTTCTCATTATGTTAACTGTTCATCGCAATTTCAAAATAAAAGTTTAAACCCTCACTCAGAGTTTGCACGTTTTGATGTCCACATTCAAGAAATTAAAGTGGCTGTAGCTTTTCTATTATAAAGAAATGGTCAAATATTAAAGATTAAGCGGACAGTTGAATTAAATTTTGTTGAGTCATTATTAAACAAGGATTGAAGACTAGGGATGTAACGATTCACTCAACTCATGATTCGATTCACGTTTTTGATTTCACAATTCGATTCACAATTTTTTTTTTTTTTTACAAGATGAGATTTAAGACAAATTATAACTTAAATGTGTCCTTTTATTATTGCTTGGACAAACTACTGTACGTTTCTTTGTGAAATTGTAATATAACACTATAATTAGGGCTGGGTATCGATTCAGATGTCTCGATTCGATTTCTATTCGCAAGCTCTCGATTCGATTTGATTCTTGATTTTTTTTGATTACTTTCAGTGAATATAGTTTTAATACAAATGCTATTGATATTTCTAAAAAATGAACAGTAAACATCAATTTACAAATGGTGAATTAATAAAAAAGAAATTAAGAACCACATACCTGTATTTTAAACCTATACTTTTTTTTGTATAGGGTCCTTTTTAAACAATAATAGGGCCCTATAAAATGTTCTTAATTTTTCTTGTAATCAGATGAATGCATAAAACATTAATTTAATTTATCCTAATCAAATGAAAATTAAACTCTTTTATTTTTTGGCAAACAAAGTGCTGCACAACAGAGGTTTACTGTTAAAATTAAAAAGAAAACAGATGTGATTATTCCTTTAAAAATAAAGATTATTAATATTTATTAGCAGTAGTAGCATTGAGTCTTAAGACTGCTAAATAGTAATATATTCAGACAGTAGAACGTTAAACTAAACTTTTATGTTGACGGGTTGCCGTGAAGAACTTGCAGCTGCTGTGTATGTGATATGACGGTAGTTGTCTCAAATGAAACGGTAAAATGCTAATGAAGTGACTCTCAGAGCAGCTGGAGATGACATTCGTGTTCATATCATCATATAGTGAGACGGCAGAAGCTGAAAACACCGCGAGCGTCATCCACGCTTTAGTATGTGTGTAGTAAACAAAACAGTGCACCACACCATCTGCCATTCATTCATTGCGGAAATCATGGCGCCTTATGCGTGATATCAGATGCTTCCGCAGGTTTATAGTATTACTATAGCATTTCACCCGAGCATTGCGAATCACACGTATGGCCATGATAAGTGCTGAATAAGGGTGAACAAGGTAAATAAGGGTGACATCTAGTGGAGAAGACTAATGATAAGATTCACGTTAATCAGATCTTGTTTTAAATGTGTGCTGAAATAAATCCCGGAAAAGATCAATTTGTGGCTTTTGAGAATCAACATCATTTAAAAAAACGATTAATCGAAAAATCTATTTTTTTGCCTAGCCCTAACTATAATAATATACTAATACAGCACTTGCATATTACTGCTCTTTTGTTGGTTTTGATTGCTTCTATTTTCCATTATTTGTTAGTCGCCTTCGATAAAAGTGTCTGCTAAATAACAAAATTTAAATATAATGTAAATGTAAATAACAAAACTAAATTTAAAATTTAAAACAAGCCCTAAATCAAATAAATAAGAAACACAAATAAAAGAAATCTCTTCATATAAACAAACTAAGGCTTTGTCTGTGCTCTTTCCATTTAAAATTAGAGGCAACCACTGCATTTTAATCATGATCCAAACAAAGATGCTGCATACAATGTTTTTAATCTAAATTACATTGTATCATTTCGAAATTTTAAAGCAAAAACAGAATGGTTTGACTTCAGTTTTGTGAAACTATGCATAAAAAATATCTGCATGAAACCGAAACAGCAGACGAGCTGAATGAGACGCAGATGCACTCTCTGCCAGCAGGTGGCGCTTAACGCGTTTTCTTGGTTTCCGCTGTAAACAAAGCAGCGCTGCGCTTATGAACTTTAATATGCAGGGCTCCAGACTGCGACCATTTTTTCTGCCTGTGCGACTAAATTTTGTGTGCGTTCGCACTGGCGCGACCACCGCGTTGGTCAACTCGAAACTGAAAGCATAACGAAACAGCGCTTGGAGAGTATACCTACGAGCGCGAATATTACGCGCATATTGAGGAAACGATGGATGGTTTTCAAACGAAAGTCAAGTCAAAGACCGCTTCTTAAACCAGAGAAGGTGAACATGCTGGCATTCTTGTGGGTGGAAAGACATGCAAGCACTGTCAATGTTAGTTTTACTTTTCTTTTTGTTTTCATTTTTGAAAAACTTATCTTTGCTGTTTACCTTAAGCTATGGAGCCTCTCTTTTATTTATTTGATTCTTTAGTGTTTGCTAAACGTTCTATAATGTATTAGTCGGTATATAATACAGCATGTGGTGTGTGCCATGCCTAATCTTATTCATTTTTGTTAATAAACGTTTTGTAAGATAGTTTGTCATTGTGTCTTACCGATTTATTGTTGTTGTGCTTTTTGATTAAGAATAACAATGAATCCATCTTTTGTTTTAGTCTTTAAAAAATGAAAGGTGTGTAGATGTATGTAAGCAAAACAGTGACAACAAGATTGCGAATTCGAAAGTGAAAGCATCCGAAGCCCGCGGCTTAACACAGCAAAAGAGAAACTCCCATTCACAAAATTCAAATCACAAAATTCTACTGATGATAAAAAACGGGTTGAATGTTAACCACTTTCGTTTCCATATAACTATAAACAATGATAAAAGTTCATCAGCATGCATTGAATAATCCCATGTTGTAGCGCAAAAAAATACAAATATTGTGACCAAATAATGTGCTTGTGTGACCAGCTGAGAAAGTTAGTAGCAAAAGAGCGACCAGTGGGAAGAATGAGTCTGAAGCCCTGATGTGCATTATACAGAGATAAGAGGAAAAGAAAAAATACCATAGAAAGACAGTAAGTTCCCCTCAGACATGCATTCATATAAACTCCTACCCCTAAGTGAATCGCGATTTGTTTAGCATCTCAACCGATTTGAATCGTCACATATTTAAATTGATTTTCAGCCGGCTCGCGGTTAATTGTTACATCCCTATTGAAGACCCTACTCAATGCATGTTCTGCAAGATTCCCCTTTCTGTCAAACATATTTTATTGGATTGTTCCACTTTTAATATGTGTTTAGTATAATTTTGCCAGAAAAAGTTGAACATTTTTTAATCATATGTTAATGTAAAAAAATCTTTGTTTGCTGGTTTTTATTGTATTTGATATACTTGTATTTTTTTTATTGTTTTTGCCATGAAAATAGCCTAAGATGCTGACATGGCATTAAATAATATATATACTACTGCTATTAAACAAGGATTAGATTGCGCAGTAAAGTGTAAAACAATTGTCAGGCTGTTGGCGCCCTCTGCAGGCATTTGTTATAATTCGTAATGTACATTAGCTCTATTGTTTATAATACATTATGTATTTTAACCATTTTGTTTAATAAAACCATATGAATACTTGCTTTTGATACTTTTTTTGAATTAATTATTATTGCCTCATTTGCTATTATGTGTTTTAAGTCATTTTAAAGGCTGTTCGCTTTGGTCTATTTTTATTACTAAAAAAAATAATTGTTATAATCCGATTGCTCAATTACTCATTAGAATAATATACAGATTACTCAATTACCAAAATAATCGTTTGTGATTAGGGATGTAATGATGAACTGCGAGCCAGTTGAAAATTGATTAAAATGTCACTATTCAAATCAGTTGAGATGCCAAAGTTTAATTGCGATAAAATTGGAGTAGGAGTTTATATGAATGTATCTCTGAGGGGAACTGACTGTCTTTAGAAAAGTTTGTGGTATTTTCTGTTCATCTTGCCTCTGAACAATGCATTTTAAAGTAGTGTTTATAAGCGCAGCGCTGCTTTGTTTACAGCGGTAACCAAGGAAATGCTGTATCATTACTGTTCATAAGCACAGCGCTCCTTTGTTTACAGCGGTAACCAAGGAAACGCTGTATCATTGCTGTTCATAAGCGCAGCGCTGCTTTGTTTACAGCGGTAACCAAGGAAACACTGTATCGTTGCTGTTCATAAGTGCAGCGCTGCTGTTTACAGCGGTAACCAAGGAAACTGTATCGTTGCTGTTCATAAGCGCAGCGCTGCTGTTTACAGCGGTAACCAAGGGGAAACAGTATCGTTGCTGTTCATAAGCGCAGCTCTGCTTTGTTTACAGCGGTAACCAAGGAAACACTGTATCGTTGCTGTTCATAAG